ATATGATGAGTTGCATTATTAAATTTCCAGTAGTAAACTAAGTATGCATCACTAGGTTGAACCCAATCTGATAATAATACATATTTTATATATTGTTGGTTTGATGTGTTAATAGTTTTGAATAATGTTTCCATTTATGCTCATGAGGAATATTTCATTCTAATTTTCATCTCTGACAATGTTTTCTTTCAGTTTTAGTGTTAGAGCAACAGCCTTCAAAATGAGTTGGCATATGTAAATTTGACATTATTTCTTCTTTAATTGTATAGTAGTATTCATCACTGAAGCCATGCAGGATTAAAGTTTGGCAAGTTTTTATCTAGTAATATAATCTCATCTGTACATGGTTGTTCATGTCTATATTCACATTGTACATTTCTTCTTGAGGGAGCTCTGCACATTTATGGGTTTCAAGAAACAACCATTTCAGAGCCAAGCATAGTAGTGCATGCCTGTAATACCAGCACTCCTAGAGGCTGAGGCAGCAGGGCCACAGAGAGTCCCAGGGTAGCATGGACTACAAAGTGAGTGCAAGGCTTTCCTGGAACCACACAGCAAAACCTGTTTCAAAAACAAAAACAAAAACAAAAACAAAACAAAACAAAGAAGGAAGAAATGGAGAGAGGGAGGGAAGGACAGAGGCAGTGAGGGAGGAAGGAGGGAGGCAAAAACAGAAGGAAGGAAAGAAGGTAGGACTTAAATTGTTTTATTTGATAGAATTAAGTTGTTACAAATATTTCCTTACTATGATCTTTATTCCTGATATGTCAACTTCAACAGGTTTAGCAATGTCTAGCAGATTAATAAACATTGCTTCTGAGTGTCTAAATGGGTCATACAGGCATGGCCTTGGGTACTACATATGGTTTTTGTCCCATTTCTCTCTGGCACAGTTCTCCCCTTCATACCCTCCACCAGGTTGTCTCTTCCTTGTAGCCAGCTAACGACAAACTAAATTCTCTGAAACCATAAACTAAACTAAGTCCCTCCTCCTTTAAGTTGTGGGTATCAGGTATTGTGTCTAGTGACAAAAAGCTAATATAGAGAATTAGAACCAGAGAAATGGAGTAACGGTCATCACTGCACCTAACCATATGGTTTAGAAACCACTGGACTGGTTTACTAGAGTTTGCAAAGTTTGTAGATGAAGATCAACACCAGAGTGCTAATAGTTGTACAGGGAGTAAAAGCCAGGATCAGGAGCTTTCAGTTGAGAACAAGGACTCCACTGGCATGTGGTCTAGAGGTTAAGAAATGTGTGTATGTGCTACATACTAACAGAAAATCTGCGTACATTTTTCCATGTCTCAAGACTTTTCAGGGGGCTAATATTAAGGTTAGTAGAGTAATTGACCTAGCAGATGAAATTTCAAGACAACTCAACATTTAGGTTGTAACATAGGAATGTTGGCAGATACAAAGCAAGAGCAAAAGCAAAGAAGAAATTTTTTGAAAAAAATAAATTTTGTCCCATAAGAAATTGTGTGTAAAGTTGGGGCCAATGGAAGTGTGGCTGCTAAAGAGATTAGCACCATTACGAAGAATGCATGTGCTCCTTATAGGGAGAAAAAGAATGATGACTTGCAGGCATCTCAGGAATCAGAAAGATGTAGCCATTCAAGGTTCAAGGATGCAAAAGTGTAAATATTAAATTTACAGAAAGAGTCCCTGGATGACTTATCGAAAAGGACCTCCTAGGGATTTGGTTCCTCAAGTTTCATTTCACTAGGCTCAGCTATCCAGGCATTTAGAGGCCGCTGGGCCCATGACCCAAGCAGAACTAACTATAGCTCAAGTTGGCAACCAGCTTTGTTGTCATCCACATGATGCTAGTTTTACTGGAATGCAAAATGCATGAGTTAAGGGGTCAGGAAGGGTTTGACCCAGATCTCAGAGGAAAGTCTAACAGTCCAGGCAAGGAGTCCTTGTGAAGACAGTATATGAAGCTATAGAATGAAATGAAAGGTGTGGTGGAGATCCCAGGAAATCCAAGATGCCAGGAACGTGAACCACCTTCGCTTTGGAACTGACATCTTCCTGGATGTACCCTGAATGCCAGACACAGATATTTTAGGAATTAATGTTTCCCTGCTGGTTTTCAGTCTTGCTTTGGTCCAATATTTTTCTAGGCCTCTAGTCCTTCTTTTTGGAGTATGAAAGTTTACCCTGTGGCATTCTGGACTTTTGAAAAGAAGTGGGACTGTTTTTACTTTGAAGAAAGCATTATTGCATTTCCAGTTGTCCTGAGGAGAGTTGTGTTGTGCTGGCTAGAAGTATGAATTTGCTACTGTCTTTATTTGGAGATTAAGTATAGTTTAAGATATGTTTGCATTTGAAATTGGCAAAGGGTAGATTGTTACTGTCAATCCTGATATGTCAACTTGATTGGATTAAAAAACACCTACACATTAGTAAAGCAGGCTCTGGGATATGTCTGGGTGCATCACAGAGGTGTGTCTTTGAGTCATACATACAGTCCTTCGCCCATTCTTCTTTGGAGATTTTCCTCTGTTCTGCTGCCTGGTTGCCATCAACTAACTACTTTACTCCACTGTATCATTCCTCCATGTTGCTTTTGTACACCATAAAACAAATTCCCTAAGACCATGAGCTAAATTAAGCCTCTTTGCCATTAAATTTTGCTTGTCAAGTATTGTGTTCAGAAAGGGAATGGCAATACACTTACCATTCTTTGAATAACTGTAAAACAAATAATCCGTATTGCCATCTCATCTCTTATTCCTGATGCTCACCAGTGTGCTCTTTCCTTATTCTTTTCATGATTAATCTATCAGAAATCCATCAATTTTGTTCATTTTGACTGAACTCACTTTTGGTATTCTCTTTCTTTCCATGTAAATATATTTCTGCTCTGATTGTTGTACTTTATTTCCTTTGGTTACTCTGGGTTTTTTCACTCTGCTTTTCTGATTTCTAGGTTACTGACTGATGCTTATTGTTTAGTACAAGCCCTTCTTTTCACAAACTTCCTTCTATCCACCATGTATAGCTGCATACAAGTTTTGATGTGTTCTCTGTGACTTTTAATTCAGTTCAAGATACTTTGGGATGTAAGATTTGACTTTTTATTCATATATTATTATTTTCTTTTTTACTGTTTTTTGAATTTGCCCATCTCTGTGGGGTAGATGATGGTAATTCAATACATGAATATAATGTATAATAATAAAATTAAGGTAATAAGCATTTCCATTTCTTCAACCATTAATCTCTTTCATGTTTTGGAAATTTTGTACTCTTCTTCTCATTTTGAAATATATTATAGGCTCTTTTGCACAATACGTACACTACTGTGTTAAAGAAAATACAGCTATTCCTCCAGTCTAAGTATGACTTTCTCCACACTACCATTCCCAGTCTTTTGTAGCCAGTTTTCCATTGTATTCTTTTATAAGGTTGACTGATTTATCTCCATGAATGAGTGAGGCATGTGATATTTATTTCTGTCTTACTTTACATAATATAATGATTTCTTCTTTCATGAATGAGTGAGGCATGTGATATTTA